TAGCTTCATCTGGTCTGTTCCTGTTTGGCTGTGACTCCATCCTGGAGAGAAATATCAGCTGTGCTGCTTCCATCAACATCCTTGTTTATAGATGTTTTAGATTGGTCTGTTTTCCAGTGTAGTCCTGTTTCTCTGACTGTGACTAACTGGATGTGCTCTGTTCTTCCTCTGACATGGGAGCAGGATTAGAGCTCGTCTGCCTGGCTGTGTGTTTCCTGGACGGGGTCCAGAAAACACACAGCCTTCCTGTTAAAAAAAAGTTTTTCCTCTCCACTGTCGTTACAAGCATGCTTAGTGTGAGGGATTGCATTTGAGTCAATGAGTCGATGCAATCAACTGGTTTTCCCTAGATAGAAAACTTTGAATCAATCTGACTGGATGATTTTCTAACGTTAGACAGAATGTCAGTGGCTAATTCAGTCGATCTCTTCAAGTTGGTCCAAGATAGTCTAATGTTATGCTACATACTATATTATAGGATACATCAGTTTATATATGGATTGTCTTGGTTTATACATCCACTGACTGTAAAATTACCTGTGAAACGTCTTTTTCAAGCAAGCAAACTGCTTGTTTTTGCAGCCAAATGCCACACAGGTAGGCATTTTATGGCCCATCTCAGTGAGAATGGGGAGTACCAAGATGGTGGCAGGTGACTTCACTTTTTGTGCTATCAGCTATCCAGTGAATAAATAGAGATAGTGAGTTTAGCTGAAGGATCACTGTTGCTGCCTCAGCCATCTTGTGGTGAAAACAACCTACTGTATAAAAAGAGAAACTGATGCTTTATGACAAAGTGAAAGTTTATAAAAAGCATTAAAAAATATTAAAGAGTAACATTGAATAATTGGAAACAAACCTGTACTGAGAACTAGGTATTAGAGACGCTTGCTAAAAAAAAAGTAAAACACAGCTTTGATCTACTTATAAAATATTTACAGTTCAAAAATTGTTGCTAGTTTCTAAACGTGTTTACCTCTTCTTAGCAACTTTAATTTATGACATTAGCAACACAATGTGAGAATCGTGGAGCAGGGAACCTAAAATGTACTAAATCAATATTCCCTATTAATTATGTTCTAAATTTTTCAGTTTAACTCTGATCTGAAATGTGTAATACAAGCTTAGGTAAGCTTGTAAAACATCTGAACCCAGAATAACAACTTCTGCCTGTTTAACCACAGACATCTGAACTCACTATTAACAGTGAACAATATGTTTTCTTGGTCTCCTCATGAAGCTTGGATCTCAATCACTCTGTTGTTATCGTCTGCTTGTTCTGTTTCCTGTGGAAAGGAAAGAACACAGAAGGTTCTGATGATCTGCTCTGAATTTACTGCAGCTTCAGCTGAGTCAGAGGAAACTAGGTTCAACACGAGACTTCCTGCGTTAACAAAATGGCTGCAGCACATCAAGTCACTTCTATTTTAGCATTATTATAAAAACAGGAAGGAAATGATAAAGAAATATTTCCATTACAAAAACTAAGATAATGTGTGGCAAAAACTTATTTGCTTACCTTCTGTTGTTTGTTGTTGCAAACTAACCTTGACCAGCTGATAGAAAAGAAATCCCAAACACTGAAATTAAAAATACTGACTGCTGTGTGGCAGCAACATATCAACTCACAGAAAATCAGGTCTCACCACTCTAGGACCACGATTGTAGTGCAGAGAATTACAATTCCTGCGATCTTTACTCCAATGTAGGCAACACTAGCTGTAAAAGAAAAAACATTTTGATCACTGCTGCACTTTGCAAAATGGAAACTATCTGAAAGCTGTGGCTAAACAAAATGACGATTAAAAACTAAGTCTTTTAGTCTAAGTCTATTTGACCTTCTTTGAGGAGGAAAAGGTACCAGATCAACAGAAATCAAAATATCCAATATAAAGAAATGTCCTGATGGAAACGACGGAAAAGATGATTTACCCAATATCTGTAAAACTGTAAACATGTAATTATATGATGATGACTTATTTAATGGTTTATTTAATGTAATGATCTCTTTCTTCAAAAAGTCAGTTAGTTAATGACTTGATTTGTGATAATCCCATTGATTTATGTGGCCTTAAAGAAACTTGGCTGCAGCAAGTCATTTAAATTCAATTCACTACAGTTTATTTCTATAGTGCAAATTCACAACACGCCATCTCAAGGCTCTTTACAATTCAACCAGATCATACAGTCAAATTAATTCAGTTTTCTATCCAAGCAAAACAGTCGATTGCATCGGCTAATTGACAATTAAAGCAATCCCTCACACCAATTGAGCAAAATTTTCCCATACCAAGAAAATCTGAGTGAGGAGGAGGAATAGCAGCAACCTTTCAGCCGGACTTACTGATGACTCTAAAGGCAGTTAATAATTACAACTCTTTTGAACATTAAACCCTTGGTTTCACTCATCCAAATTACAAAGCATCCTATTCTGTTTGTATCATCCACCAGGTCCTTAATCTGAATTGTTAGATCAGTTTTTAGTTTCTATCTGATTTAGTGTTTCATACTAAGAGGTCAGGGATTTTAACATCCATGCGGATGTGGAAGGTGATAGATTGAATGCAGCCTTTATCGCTATCTTCGACTTGATTGGCTTTGTTCAAAATGTGAGTATTCCCACACATTTCTATCTTCCTACTTTGGACCTTATGCTGACATTTGGCATTTAATATAAAGAAATAACAGTATTTTCTTGCAACCCTGTCCTCTCTGACCCATGGGCGTCGGCAGACCCTTTCACAGGGGCACGTGCCTCATTGTGGATCTGTGGTACCTGGGTATGCCTGGGGCACTTATTTTTGAATTAAATGTCCGTGTTCACTGCTCCGTTCTCACAGCTCCACCCTCACAGTGGAGTTGAGAGGAGAACACTCCAAAATTAGCCAGTCTCAATTGATCGACACCTTCGCAAAAATGACGCAGAGAGAAGTGGCGGCTGGCCAATAGAGGACGCTAGGGGACCGCCCCCACAACCAATGACCCTATGAAGACATACAAAATAATGTCATTTTTTTATAATTAAATATTAAATTAGAACATAAGATATTTCGAAATGTATCTCTACATATTTTTCAGATGTGCAAGATAAATATTTAATCTTTAATAACTAGTAAAGTGTCATTACATTTTTTGTTGGATTGATCACGTATTTCCGCCCTGGGGCTTTGTCCATTGACTCGTTAAAAGTTGTACATTCGCAGTAGCTCCTCACAATTCAGAAGTATAGGAGAGCTTGGGGCGCAGCTTTGGTGCAACTGAGGTGACAGGAAGTATATTTGCTCACCACCTCCCGCCACAGAGCAGACTTTTTGCGGGTGATTGACAGGTCAATCGCGGGGGCTGAAGACGCATTGGAGAGAGAAAGAGAGAAATGGTGCTAGAAATTTCCTTTTCCAGGACCTGGTTTAGCAAGAAGGCTTGGCTAGCAGCATGTAGCTTTATGCTGCTTTCGCTCCCTCCTTTTTCATGTCAGGATCTGACCCAGCATGGATAAAGACAGCTAGGACTGATTTAAAGCACTTTTTTAGAAAAGACAAAACAAGAATGAACAATCTGGGATTCACATGGAAAATTATAGAATATAGGGGGGTGTCGGTTCAAGAAGGGGTTCATAACATTTATGGATAGGATTTCTAGGCGCAGCCAAGGACCGGAGGGGGTCTGGTTTGGGGACCAGCGGATCTCCTCCCTGCTTTTTGCAGATGACGTAGTTCTGCTGGCTCCCTCCTGCCAAGACCTACAGTGTCCGCTGGGGTGGTTCGCAGCCGATTGTGAAGCGGCTGGGATGAGAATCAGCTCCTCCAAGTCCGAGGCCATGGTTCTCGACCGGAAAAAGGTGGCTTGTCCCCTTCAGGTTGGAAGAGAGACACTGCCTCAAGTGGAGGAGTTCAAGTATCTTGGGGTCCTGTTCACGAGTGATGGAAGAATGGAGCGGGAGATCGA